TTTAGTAGGGACTGAATAAATTAACCGACTTGGTATAACATGGATCTCACAACTTTTTATGGTAGAAGAACTGAGTTGCGAGACTTGATTTTTTAGTTAGTTATGTTCTTGATGGCATACTTTAGTTTTATAAAAATAAATCAGAATTATAGCCAGTCTAAGTGACATGGGTACAAGGCGTGTTAAAATATACCGTGGATCTCTTTTTCGGAAATTATTCCAGGCGGATTTCGGTATAGAATAGATTAGAATCATTTTTATTGTTTTCTATTACAGTATATAATACTTATTGAAAGTATTTTTTTTTTACTTTTACCACTGGATCGCAAAAAAACCTCTGTCCTGGGAAGATCCAGCAAGAAACCCAGCGGGATTTTTTGTTTTTGTGTACATACATTCAAATCTTGTAAATATATTGAAAGGCTAAAGTTAATATATATTTATTTCTTTAAATTTTTCTCTAATGGATTCCTTCGGACCTAGGTTATAAATTGCACTTATTACTCTTTTGCAAAACAATGATAGTTTCAATGTCAGTCGCCCTCTATAATGACGGCCATATAGCTCGGGGTCCTTACACAACTTGCATGGAATACACGAACCCCGGGAATGAGGTGGCTTGTACTAAGCAGAATGTTTCTTAGAATAGTTCATATTATTGAACTGCCTCGTTGGTTGTTGTAGTGCAACTGCTGATCAGCTCTCGGGTTCGAATCCCGGGTCGGGCCAAGAAAAATCAGTTATTGAGTTTTTCCGTCAAGAAATTCTCAGTAGCTGGCCGGAGTCAGGAAGTTGGCGGTGTCTCACCCCCGTGCCTCAGAAAGCACGTAAGCCGTTGGTCCTTCGCCTGATCTCTCTCCGGTCGTATCGGCTTCCCGTCCCATCGGACTTTAAGAGGGAGGGAGTAGAGAGTGCACCTGTGCTTGCGCGTAACATATAGTACTTTTGGGAAACTCAGGAAAAAGTACACACTCATTTTTAATCCTAATGCATTTTTCCATATAAATTTGTTATTGCTCTTCGCTTTGGCCATTGAACTTTAAAATGATTATAGGAATCTTAGCAATTTAGATTCATATTAAAATAAATTAACAATTCATTTTTAATTCATGACGGAAAAATTCTTTCCGTAAAACTTACTTGTTCCAGACTTCAAGTCACAGTTAATATAAAATATCGCGACATCTGAATTAGGGGAAAAATATAGTATATTTAGTACTATATTATTTTTCTATAATATATAGTACATTTTACTGAAATATAATATACTATATATTATAGTACGGGTGGCAACCCTAGCTGCGTCCCATAGACATCTACACAGATCCCCGATTAAAAGTCAAAATGCAGATGCGTTGTCACAACTAAGCACTAAGATAGAATGCCTCGTTTCCATAAAAAAGTAAAAAGCTATGTACTGATATAGATGAATAGCCAAGAAGGCTTAGTCCAAATGCGTATCATTCGCTGTGAAACTATTTTCCCCTTGATTATCTAAGTTAGTTCTCACGCAATGAAAAGCAATTGTTACATATTAATTGAACTGCATCAGCATGGGCCTATGGAACAAAAGATGACGTTCAATCGTCACGTGCGCAGTTCAAGAAGCCATTCGTAAAATCCACGGAAGGACAAAGGCTAGCTAATTATGTAATGAGATCATTGCAAGCCGTATAATTATGTTTCTTATGTTTGTAGAGATAATATTTTATATCCACTCTTTATGTTATTTCAAAACACTAGCCTATCGGGTTCGCACTGGTGATTTCTGGATCTCGACAAGAATCCCACCTACCGAGTCCAATTAAAAACCACCCAGGGACCCAATCAAACGCACTTAAAAACTTACATCAAAATCTTTCGAGCAATTTTTGAGTTTGTGCGAGACTAAAGCAAGGCAATTGATTTTTATATATTTAGACTACTAGCAATTCCCGGCACGCGTTACAATATCTCTTTTTAACCGACTGTATTTTTTTTGTTTTTTTTTTTAATGTGTGGTACCTTAAGAGGTACCTCTTAACTTTTTTATAGGTGAACCGATTTCGATGATTCTTTTTTTTTTCTTGAAAGCTGGTGCTTCTCTTGTGGTTCCATATAAATTGATTAAATGATATTGATAAAGGTTTAAACTGTAGTTTTTAAGGTATCCTTAATAATTTATATTATTGAAGTCAGTTGTACAAAATTTTTAATTTTACCACTTGTAAACAAGAAAATTTCTAATTTCGTGTATTGTTTAGGATGTTATTCATTTTCGAAGTAAATGAAGTATTTAGTTTTATTTAAAAAAAAAAAACTGTCGAGGGCGAGCGCACAACAACTCACCAAAGTTTTATCATAATCGAATGTATGGTATGGCAGCGCATAAAATACGAACAAACAAACAAACATATTTTTTTGTATTATATTAGAAAATATTAAATAAAAGTAAAGTTACCACCCTTAATTATGTCTTACTGCTGGGCACAGGCATCCTCTCAAATCCGAGATGGTTATGACAACAACCAAGTAACTACTTCTACTACTACTACTTCCCCGCGACTTCACTCGCGTTTAATTTATTAAGATTGGATTTTTGGATTGGATTGGGCGGAACGTAAGTACGAACGAAGTATCGTATATACTTTGTATGTAGTATTTAGTAAAAATCTGTTATTTTGACATTACAAACAGACACTTCAATGTTATTTATTTGTATAGAGTATAGATTGTATAGATCACTCCACCGCGCTGCTACGTGATGCGTGTTTGCGGACTTTACATGTCCTCCAAAATCGAAATATTATATGTAATTTTTACCATACATGATCCCTAATATGACTTTACCAATAGAATTATGTTTTGCTTCACCGCATTGTGATTGCAATTAGCAATTTCATTGGTGCGAGCGGGGATTGAACCCGGGTTGCTAGCGTATTGTGAAAACCATGGCATATTTACCTCACTAAGAATTTCTTCACAGTCGTTTTTCATATTTCCAGATTGATAACAATTATTTGTAGGTTATACAATTAATTTCTTAGGCTTTTTCCGTTTTTAAGAATAATATACGTAGCATTCTTAGCATTTTAGATTAAGCGTTTTCTAGATTAATTCCTTGCAGTACACAATAGTGGATTTATAAAGGCTAATAAAGAAGGAAAAACAAAATAATAACATAGGTACTTTTTTTTTAAAGAATACTAGTGACACTATTAGAGGAAAGGTACCAATTATGGAATACGTCCCTAATATGGAATACCGTAATATTTCTAAAACTAAGCACCACAAATATTCCAAACTTGTGCCATGTTACTCCTCCCGTTACCCGCGTTCAACGGCCAGGGTGCGTGCGGCGATCGGCAGCAATACACGCAAATGAGAGTGCGGGACACTGTTGGCGCAACATCAATCGGATATTTAGGTAAGTTTTACGTATATATTTCTTATTGTTCGTACATGAATATCTCAAAATAAGTTGATATGTATCTGAACAAAGTATGTAATTTTTTAATGATATTGTTATTTTATGAATTTTTAAAAATATTAAAAAGTTACATTTATTTTCCTCTCGCCATCATATTGTTCGTAATATGGAATACTGTTGAGGTCCTAATATGGAATAGTATTCTATATTAGAACCTCAACGAAAGTAAGTTTTTAATATAGTGTCTGATTACTATTTCTGTCTTTTACAGATATAATTGTGACCAAACTGACCCCACCAGTATGAAAAATGCTATTAAAGCCGTGAAAACCAAAAAAATGGGTTATAAGAAAGCTGCACAGGTTTTTAATGTACCTCGGACTACCCTCTTTCGGTTCTGTCATGATATGAACCAAAGATAGCCTTGGTCGTAAAACAGTTTTGGGACCTGATTGAACATATTATATACGATACAGATACAGATACATATATACGAGTACAGTATGTCAAGCAAATGAAAAATAAAACGGTATGTTGGGCTTACACGAAATGATGTGAAGAGAATGGCATATCAGTTGGCGGTAAAAAATAATTTAAAACATCCTTTTAATAATAGAACAGCTGGACGTAAATGGTCAAAAGGGTTTTTTTCGAGGCATAAAGAACTTTCCCCGGTCCAACCTACTGGTACATCATTTGCTCGGGTTAAAGGCTTCACGAAAGAAAATATTAAATTCTTCTTCGATTTACTGGAAAAGGAATTTGGGCTTTTTAAATTTCCACCAACTAGGATCTACAACGTCGACGAGACTGGGCTTATCATTGTTCAATCGAATACACCCAAGGGTTTAGCTTGCAGGGTTAATTTTATTATTTTCTTTTGCTTAACGAGACTTGACCCTATTATGGAATACCCTATTCCATAATAGGGTCACATTTTTGAGAAGCATATTTTTTGTTGATTTATTTTAGTTAATAATATTACGGAAAGTGTTAATGATTTACTGATTTAAATATTATTTTAAGAGAGTGATAATGACTACATTTAATTGTAATCAATGAGACTGATTAAAATAAAACATTTGTACTGATTTTTTTGAAAATTTGTTTAAGTATTCCATATTCGGTCCTTTTCCTCTAATATCACCTATTCTCCTGTTAACCGGCCTCTGACTGCCTCACTGGTCTACTAGCCGTAAAAGCTAATGTAACGTGATAGAGCCATGCTGCAGCTATATTTCTGGTATAGTTGTAATCTCGAATGGGTCGGCTCGACCGGGGAAGAACCACGCCCTCATAGAATACCAGCGTTAAATAGCAGATTAATGCTGCTGTGTTTCGAATTGTGAGTGTAGAGAACCGGAGACCCTTTTTACTGGAAACGAGGCATTCCATCCTAGTCCTCACGAGTGACAATGCATCTGCATTTCGTAATCGAGGATAAATGTAGATGTCTATGAGCCACAGCAACCACTTACCATGAGGTGGACTGTGTGCTCGTTTGTCACTCTTATTATTCTCACTCTTATTACTCGTATTGCGTTCACAAAATTAGCGTTCTCATAACATTTAGATGTCTCTTCTGTTACAGGTGTGGGTGATGGGTGAACATCCCAACGACCAGTCAATCGAGGACATTCTAGCGGAGGAAGCCCGGCAACGTGCAATGACCCAGGCGCGGCAGGAAGCTCATCAGCTCAGAAAGTCCGTTGAGAAGGAACTCACACATCTCATCGAGTACCAGCCTCTAGACACGTTAGAACAGGTAAAATTAAAAAAAAGAAAAACTTATGAGGTAACACACATAAAAAAAACATACAGTCCCCCTTTTTGGAGTCGGTTGAAAATGGGAGTGATGTAGAGTAAATTTTCATATTTATCGAACAATATAACGCTATAACGATATACCGTTATTAGCGGGTTTTCGATATTGGGAACTGTGCATGTAGACGGTACGGGCTCGATGAGTCGCGTGAGTCGCCATTTTTAATCCAATTCTTTATCCGTACGGCCTGTAACGAGTATTAAATAATATATAATTTGTAGGTTTCAAATTTAATCGTAGTCAGGATATAAGAATAGATTGGTGAAGAATATACCGTTGTATGTATCCTTCACACCAACTGTCCTGTTTGACAGTAGATAATTTATTGTAAGTGTCACATTGAACAGATAGATTTGAAATTGTTGTACTTGATGATGCGTATCTATAGCTATGCTATCCGTCCCCGTTAACGTCAGGCTTATCATGATTACCCATTAATGTAATTTGGTGCCGTGTGGTGGTCGAGGAGAATCCATCACCCCATTGGTGGTAGAGCCATGCTGCAGCTATATTACTGGTATAGTTGTAGCACGAATGGGTCGGCTCGACCGGGGAAGGACCACGATCTCACAGAATACCGGCGTAAAATAGCAGCTTAACGCTGCTGTGTTTCGTATGGTGAGTGTAGAGAACCGGAGACCCCTTTTACTGGAAACGAGGCACTCCATCTTAGTCCTCACGGCTGACAACGCATCTACATTTTGATTCGTAATCGAGGATAGATGTAGATGTCTATGGGCCACAGCAACCACTTACCATCAGGTGGACTGTGTGCTCGTTTGTCATCCTATGCTATAAAAAAAATTGAACCCGTGGATGTCGTAAGCGGGTTCTATTGGCAATGCTAGAAATATCTTATGGCTTCCAACAGATGGCGGCATAAAGATTTCGTTTACTTCAGACGTAAAACAGTCAGAATGGCGACACAGTACCAGGCCAGGCGTTAGGTGCTAATCGTCAAAACACTTGCTAAGCGTGACGATTAAGGCCTCCTTTTCTGTCTATTTATGCCGCCAATAGTAACATTTACTCTGTTGAGAACTGAAGAGTTGAGAGAGCCAGTGTAATTACTAGGGCGTGAGGCATTCCATCTAAATTCTTAAAGGCGTTGTTGCCTTCTCGATTTTGAAGTTGGCTGCAGATGTCCATGGGCTGCAGAGTCCACTTACCAGTGTTAACACATCTGTTGCCTTCTCGGTTTTGAAGTTGGTTGCAGATGTCCATGGGCTGCAGAGTCCACTTACCAGTGTTAACACATCTGTTGCCTTCTCGGTTTTGAAGTTGGTTGCAGATGTCCATGGGCTGCAGAGTCCACCTACCAGTGTTAACACATCTGTTGCCTTCTCGGTTTTGAAGTTGGCTGCAGATGTCCATGGGCTGCAGAGTCCACTTACCAGTGTTAACACATCTGTTGCCTTCTCGGTTTTGAAGTTGGCTGCAGATGTCCATGGGCTGCAGAGTCCACTTACCAGTATTAACACATCTGTTACCTTCTCGGTTTTGAAGTTGGCTGCAGATGTCCATGGGCTGCAGAGTCCACTTACCAGTGTTAACACATCTGTTGCCTTCTCGGTTTTGAAGTTGGTTGCAGATGTCCATGGGCTGCAGAGTCCACTTACTATCAGGTGAACTGTAAGTTCGTCGGTCACTTCACTTTTATTAAATAAAAGCAAGTCCTCCCTACTAAAGGGAGCTCATGCCCGCCGGTGGACTTTTGGTAGCCGATAAAGAAGATCCAGTGATAATTTTTTATGTTTCAGAAATTCGATTTATCACCTAAAAATGTTGACTCTCTCGAAGACGCTTTAGACCTATACTGCTCAGTGGACGAACTCCGAGCAAGAATTGAAGAGTTGGAGCCCGATGTTACGTCACCCAAGGATCTAAATAAGGCTGATTACGACGACAGCATCAAACTTGATCTAACCAAAAACACAATGCACTTTAATTTTATTGAAGGCAAGCGGGAAGTTATAGATGTACTACAGGTGTGTGATTTTAACTGCTATTACTAATTTTCATTATCATTATTACAGCCCATTACAAGTCCACTGCTGAACACAGGCCTCTCCTAGGGAATGCCACAAAACATGGTCCTGAACCACCTGCATCCATCGCATTTCCTGCATCTGTTACCAGGCCATCACTCCATCTAGTGGGACAGCCTTTAACCTTTCTTCCACAGAACCTTTTTTCCTTCTGATTTTCATTGTTCTTGCATTTTTTAGAATTTCAGGTCAGGGTCAGGTTGTATGTTTAACAAAATATGATTCGCAACCGTAACGAGTATGTGTTCACGAGCCGTACGCTAATCTTTTGTATTGCCAACCACTTTTGCAGTTTTTTCCAACTACTGGTGTGAAACGGTACCGTGACATTGTTCGCTCGGATTGCTATGGAAAAAATTGTTGTAATAGTCTGCTTATTGGCAGAGGAAGAAGAAAATAAAATTCGAAGAGAAAGAAGATTCTGAATGCACATTATTAATTTAAAAAAGCAGTTTTATGGTGAATATTATACTTTATTTAAAGACTTATTAGATGATGATGAACGATTATTTCGATATTTGTATTTGAGATACAAGAAGCAAAAGTTGACATACTACAACCTATATAAAATATATTTAGAAACGAAAGTCGAAACCACCAGTTTTAGGGGAATATCCACTAAGTTGGCAACATTAGACAATACTGAGTATCAGCATGCGCCAAACGCGCCGCGTTATACGACCTAATCAGCATGCCTCCTCCAATATTCGGATAACTATCGCAATTTATAAAATACGGCGCGTACGGTGGTGGTGTAATGTGCAAGGTTTCATATGATTTCATACAACGAGTTCGACGAAATAACGGCGCGTGCGGCGCTTACGGTACTGACAAATGGGCGCTCAGCTTAATAATAAATGGCTTCATTTATAACGATTAAGAAATGCTTGAAGTTGCTCTTTCTCTTTTTAATGTATAACAATAGGAAGAGACAGGTATAGAGGTAAAATCAATGATTGTAAGGGTGCAAGTTTTTATTTAAATTTTGTTGTGTGTATGCAGGAGGCGGGCATGTGCGGTGGCGTGGCGGAGGGCGTGGGGCCGCGCGTGGCGGCGTGGGAGCGGCGCGTGGCGGCGGCGCGCGCCGGCGACATCCTGCGCGGCCTGCGCGCCCGCCGCGCCCGCACGCTGCGCGACGCGCACCGCTCCACGCACCACCTGGACGCCGTGTGGCGCGACCAGGGTCAGTGCATTAAGCCGCGTATCGACTACGCGCTCCTGGCGCGCGTGCCATGAATGCCCGCTTGGACCAGTGCGCTCCGCAGAACGCGCTCCAAATGTTCCAAGTGTATCAACTAAACACGCCTGGCGCGCGCGGTAGCCGCTCCAGTGTTTGACCTTGAACGGTCTGAATCGACAATCGGAATTTTGTTCCGGGAAGTTGTTGGATTTGATAGGCCACAAATCCTCGCAAAAGAACACCTATTCCTATCAAGGATGATTCGCGAGGCTATTGAAATAAAAAACATCCTAATTTCAATAGAGAAGATGGATGGGTGCTGCCATCTGCTTGGGATCTTGTAATTAATAAAATAAAATCCAAACCCAAGCATACCACTGCAAAACTTCAAGATACTGTACGCTCATTCTGCGTAGATCGGACCAAAAGTTAATATTCAAAAACTGAAGGTAGCCGGGCTAACTATGACATCGGGACGTCAAACACCTCAGTCCCCCTGTGACCATGGGTGTTGTAAAACACCCGAAACGTCGGGAATTAAAAGAAACATTAAATGAAACGCGATAAAATCCATAAAAATTAGTTTCAATTAACGAAGGAAGGAGGAGAAAAGATATAAATTTCTATGGTCCACAGCATCCACCTACCATCAGGTGGACCATGTGCTCTTTTGTCACTCTTATACTATATAAAAAAGTGTGTATGTATTTATGAACGCACATAGGAAGTTACTCTTCTTTAGCGTAACAAAACAAAAAAACTTGAGAGAAAATTACCCCCTGAATTTATCGCTTTTAGGTGTCAGTGTACGCGCACATCGTAACAACTTCATGGCGTCATTTTTAGGTGTCGATGTGCGCGCGTCGTAAAAATTCACTCTCATAATTTTTCCGAAACGCCCCAAAAGAAGTATAATTAAAAAAAAACATAACGGTGCTAATTGTGACCACCAAGTGACAATGTCGTTAGTTCCAGTTTTCAGTATAAGGGGAAGGGAATATAAGTTTAATTGTTATTATTCTTTTTTAGAGCGCAAAGCTAAGGAAGCGGAAGCAGCTATGAGACAGATTGCACGAGCAGCTCGCGAGGCTCACCGTCTTAGCACAGATATCACACCGCCCCCATGCCCTACGCAAGGTAAATTAAACGCCACTATCCAGATAATTTGATTTTTTTTATAAAGCCGACGCCAGATACAGCTTTAAACATTTGAGCACTTGTTTGAAGCTATGGTGGCACGGGACTTTGAATCAATGTTCAAATAAGAGCGCAAAGAAATGCACTTTGCCAAGCGATATCGGTTTTTAGCGCACATCAAAGCGTTCAAAGTCGACAGTGTTCAAATGTTTGCATAGCCTGCCAAACTGTTGTGGCCCACACTTGCGAAAAGTTCAGTCACGCGAGCGCTTCGCGCGAGCGTTGTTAAGCGGGACGAACGTGCGCAGTACGCTTTAAAAATAGGTCCAATCATAAAGGCAGTAAAAAATCGAATGATTGTGATTTGTATGCTCAGCTTTTACGAGTATCTGAAAAGTTAAAGCCCTGGCATGAAGATGACATACTAGTAATTATGAATGAAATAGGTAATCTTTTATTTAATAATCTTTTTTTTTATTGTATTAATTTTGCACATGTAATAAATAATGACATGCACTTAAATAACACGGGCACACCGCAACCACAAAATCGTCGGCCATCTTGTTTGTCGTTTTACAATGTACTGTGGAGAGATGTGTTTGCAAAGCATGTATGGCAGGTTGTGTCAATAAGTGTTCAAACAAGTGTGCAAAGTCCTCCAAATAAGTGTTCAAATGTAGTTGCTATATCTGGCGCCGGCTTAACATTAGTGGGCGCTGTAACTTTAACTTTTATTAAAAGTCTAGTAATTGTGACAAACAGTAACAATAACAGTGGTAGAGCCATGCGGCAGCTTTTGCTGTCGCACGGATGGGCCGGCTCGAACCAGGGTGGTACCACGACCTCACAGAAAACCAGCGTGAAGTAGAGGTTTGTCTCTGCGTTTCGCTTGGTGAGTGCAGGTGGCCGGAGGCCTTTTTTACTGGAAATGAGGCATTCCATCTTAGTCCTCACGGGTGACAACGCATCTACATTTTGATTTGTAATAGAGGATAGATGTAGATGTCTATGGGCCTCCGCAACCACTTACCATCAGGTGGACTGTGTGCTCGTTTGTCACATTTATCCTATATAAAAAAAAATTCTCGCCCATAGATTGTCTCAAAGGACAGATGTTTGCCAGCCGATTGGCAGGCGGGTTGGTAATTATATGTCATCATAGTTTTTTATTGTGATATATGGGTGGGTTTGATGGAATCTCTTATGCCGCTACTACACGACGATATAGAGTATAGTAGACAGTCATAGTGAAAGTCAATTTAAAGTTTAAACAATAATTCTTCTTTTAAATCATTATCATTTAATTCTTATTCTTTTATATAAAATATTTTTTAATAAAGTTTATATTTATATAAAATAATTAATTAAATTTTATATAAAATAACTATACTTTTATATAAAATAATTTTTCTAGCGGGAAAACCTCCGAATCGCGAGGCTGTAGTGGAATGGTTCAAAACTCAAGAGCTCAAGAAAGGCGTCGGAATGGATGAAAATAACAAACCAGTCGACTGGTTTCACGGCAAGTATCTTTTATACCGTTTTCCCCTTTTCACAGCAAAATTAACATTTAACACGGTGTTTGCGCCAACATGCTTATTTGCATTTTCGAGTTTATGGGTTTATGTATATGTTAGTTAGATTAGCTGACGCAAAATTCCCTACCTTTTTCCCTTTTCCGACACATATCTGGTGTTACATAGTTTATTCGATAGGCCGGCTTGCACCTTGCAGCCCAGTCGTCGACGCGAACCGCTAGAGGAAGGACATCCCAGTCGTTGTCGCGCTCTGCTAGAAGAATGGTCGTATAAAATGTCACGGCCATTATCGTGAAAACGTTGTCTTAAAATTATTTAATCGATAGAAGATTGTTTGATGCACATGACTTAATTGAGAAGAAATCAGAACTGTTCTATTGTTAATAGATTTAGTGTCAACATAGCTCATCGTGTCATCGAGTCCTCAAGAGATACATGACACATCGCTCTCCTCAAAGGTACTGTGGTACTTTATCCATCCTTTAATGCGCTGTCTTATTTGTTGTTCCTAATTCCTCAGCAGCTCATATTCCTTCATGCCACAACGAATTAAATCAATCACGCAAGTTTATTGTCCAAACTATGGCGCATACCTATACCGTACCGCCGCGTCCCCCGTTTTATTTTGGTTCTTTCGATCACCGCTGATATAGTCTATTTAATTTTAGTTCCCACGCTCCATCATGCTGACCCATTTTATAGTTATGACAATTATATGGTTACTTGCCGCGATCATTTCTGTAAGGTTTTATCATAATATGACGACGTAGATCGATGTTTCTTGACTTATCCATGACGCTCATTCCAGGCCTGATCTCTCGGTCGGAAGCAGAACAACTGCTAAGCCCGTGCCCAGCGGGCAGCTTCCTAGTGCGCGTGTCGGAGCGCGTGTGGGGCTACGCAGTGTCGTACCGCGCGGAGACGCGCTGCAAGCACTACCTGGTGGAGGCGGAGCGCGGCTACCGCCTGCTCGGAGCCGCCAGCCGCGCGCACCGCTCGCTAGGTAACTGCCGGGGTGTGAGGGTGTGGGGCCACGCAGTGTCGTACCGCGCGGAGACGCGCTGCAAGCACTACCTGGTGGAGGCGGAGCGCGGCTACCGCCTGCTCGGAGCCGCCAGCCGCGCGCACCGCTCGCTAGGTAACTGCCGGGGTGTGAGGGTGTGGGGCCACGCAGTGTCGTACCGCGCGGAGACGCGCTGCAAGCACTACCTGGTGGAGGCGGAGCGCGGCTACCGCCTGCTCGGAGCCGCCAGCCGCGCGCACCGCTCGCTAGGTAACTGCCGGGGTGTGAGGGTGTGGGGCCACGCAGTGTCGTACCGCGCGGAGACGCGCTGCAAGCACTACCTGGTGGAGGCGGAGCGCGGCTACCGCCTGCTCGGAGCCGCCAGCCGCGCGCACCGCTCGCTAGGTAACTGCCGGGGTGTGAGGGTGTGGGGCCACGCAGTGTCGTACCGCGCGGAGACGCGCTGCAAGCACTACCTGGTGGAGGCGGAGCGCGGCTACCGCCTGCTCGGAGCCGCCAGCCGCGCGCACCGCTCGCTAGGTAACTGCCGGGGTGTGAGGGTGTGGGGCCACGCAGTGTCGTACCGCGCGGAGACGCGCTGCAAGCACTACCTGGTGGAGGCGGAGCGCGGCTACCGCCTGCTCGGAGCCGCCAGCCGCGCGCACCGCTCGCTAGGTAACTGCCGGGGTGTGAGGGTGTGGGGCCACGCAGTGTCGTACCGCGCGGAGACGCGCTGCAAGCACTACCTGGTGGAGGCGGAGCGCGGCTACCGCCTGCTCGGAGCCGCCAGCCGCGCGCACCGCTCGCTAGGTAACTGCCGGGGTGTGAGGGTGTGGGGCCACGCAGTGTCGTACCGCGCGGAGACGCGCTGCAAGCACTACCTGGTGGAGGCGGAGCGCGGCTACCGCCTGCTCGGAGCCGCCAGCCGCGCGCACCGCTCGCTAGGTAACTGCCGGGGTGTGAGGGTGTGGGGCCACGCAGTGTCGTACCGCGCGGAGACGCGCTGCAAGCACTACCTGGTGGAGGCGGAGCGCGGCTACCGCCTGCTCGGAGCCGCCAGCCGCGCGCACCGCTCGCTAGGTAACTGCCGGGGTGTGAGGGTGTGGGGCCACGCAGTGTCGTACCGCGCGGAGACGCGCTGCAAGCACTACCTGGTGGAGGCGGAGCGCGGCTACCGCCTGCTCGGAGCCGCCAGCCGCGCGCACCGCTCGCTAGGTAACTGCCGGGGTGTGAGGGTGTGGGGCCACGCAGTGTCGTACCGCGCGGAGACGCGCTGCAAGCACTACCTGGTGGAGGCGGAGCGCGGCTACCGCCTGCTCGGAGCCGCCAGCCGCGCGCACCGCTCGCTAGGTAACTGCCGGGGTGTGAGGGTGTGGGGCCACGCAGTGTCGTACCGCGCGGAGACGCGCTGCAAGCACTACCTGGTGGAGGCGGAGCGCGGCTACCGCCTGCTCGGAGCCGCCAGCCGCGCGCACCGCTCGCTAGGTAACTGCCGGGGTGTGAGGGTGTGGGGCCACGCAGTGTCGTACCGCGCGGAGACGCGCTGCAAGCACTACCTGGTGGAGGCGGAGCGCGGCTACCGCCTGCTCGGAGCCGCCAGCCGCGCGCACCGCTCGCTAGGTAACTGCCGGGGTGTGAGGGTGTGGGGCCACGCAGTGTCGTACCGCGCGGAGACGCGCTGCAAGCACTACCTGGTGGAGGCGGAGCGCGGCTACCGCCTGCTCGGAGCCGCCAGCCGCGCGCACCGCTCGCTAGGTAACTGCCGGGGTGTGAGGGTGTGGGGCCACGCAGTGTCGTACCGCGCGGAGACGCGCTGCAAGCACTACCTGGTGGAGGCGGAGCGCGGCTACCGCCTGCTCGGAGCCGCCAGCCGCGCGCACCGCTCGCTAGGTAACTGCCGGGGTGTGAGGGTGTGGGGCCACGCAGTGTCGTACCGCGCGGAGACGCGCTGCAAGCACTACCTGGTGGAGGCGGAGCGCGGCTACCGCCTGCTCGGAGCCGCCAGCCGCGCGCACCGCTCGCTAGGTAACTGCCGGGGTGTGAGGGTGTGGGGCCACGCAGTGTCGTACCGCGCGGAGACGCGCTGCAAGCACTACCTGGTGGAGGCGGAGCGCGGCTACCGCCTGCTCGGAGCCGCCAGCCGCGCGCACCGCTCGCTAGGTAACTGCCGGGGTGTGAGGGTGTGGGGCCACGCAGTGTCGTACCGCGCGGAGACGCGCTGCAAGCACTACCTGGTGGAGGCGGAGCGCGGCTACCGCCTGCTCGGAGCCGCCAGCCGCGCGCACCGCTCGCTAGGTAACTGCCGGGGTGTGAGGGTGTGGGGCCACGCAGTGTCGTACCGCGCGGAGACGCGCTGCAAGCACTACCTGGTGGAGGCGGAGCGCGGCTACCGCCTGCTCGGAGCCGCCAGCCGCGCGCACCGCTCGCTAGGTAACTGCCGGGGTGTGAGGGTGTGGGGCCACGCAGTGTCGTACCGCGCGGAGACGCGCTGCAAGCACTACCTGGTGGAGGCGGAGCGCGGCTACCGCCTGCTCGGAGCCGCCAGCCGCGCGCACCGCTCGCTAGGTAACTGCCGGGGTGTGAGGGTGTGGGGCCACGCAGTGTCGTACCGCGCGGAGACGCGCTGCAAGCACTACCTGGTGGAGGCGGAGCGCGGCTACCGCCTGCTCGGAGCCGCCAGCCGCGCGCACCGCTCGCTAGGTAACTGCCGGGGTGTGAGGGTGTGGGGCCACGCAGTGTCGTACCGCGCGGAGACGCGCTGCAAGCACTACCTGGTGGAGGCGGAGCGCGGCTACCGCCTGCTCGGAGCCGCCAGCCGCGCGCACCGCTCGCTAGGTAACTGCCGGGGTGTGAGGGTGTGGGGCCACGCAGTGTCGTACCGCGCGGAGACGCGCTGCAAGCACTACCTGGTGGAGGCGGAGCGCGGCTACCGCCTGCTCGGAGCCGCCAGCCGCGCGCACCGCTCGCTAGGTAACTGCCGGGGTGTGAGGGTGTGGGGCCACGCAGTGTCGTACCGCGCGGAGACGCGCTGCAAGCACTACCTGGTGGAGGCGGAGCGCGGCTACCGCCTGCTCGGAGCCGCCAGCCGCGCGCACCGCTCGCTAGGTAACTGCCGGGGTGTGAGGGTGTGGGGCCACGCAGTGTCGTACCGCGCGGAGACGCGCTGCAAGCACTACCTGGTGGAGGCGGAGCGCGGCTACCGCCTGCTCGGAGCCGCCAGCCGCGCGCACCGCTCGCTAGGTAACTGCCGGGGTGTGAGGGTGTGGGGCCACGCAGTGTCGTACCGCGCGGAGACGCGCTGCAAGCACTACCTGGTGGAGGCGGAGCGCGGCTACCGCCTGCTCGGAGCCGCCAGCCGCGCGCACCGCTCGCTAGGTAACTGCCGGGGTGTGAGGGTGTGGGGCCACGCAGTGTCGTACCGCGCGGAGACGCGCTGCAAGCACTACCTGGTGGAGGCGGAGCGCGGCTACCGCCTGCTCGGAGCCGCCAGCCGCGCGCACCGCTCGCTAGGTAACTGCCGGGGTGTGAGGGTGTGGGGCCACGCAGTGTCGTACCGCGCGGAGACGCGCTGCAAGCACTACCTGGTGGAGGCGGAGCGCGGCTACCGCCTGCTCGGAGCCGCCAGCCGCGCGCACCGCTCGCTAGGTAACTGCCGGGGTGTGAGGGTGTGGGGCCACGCAGTGTCGTACCGCGCGGAGACGCGCTGCAAGCACTACCTGGTGGAGGCGGAGCGCGGCTACCGCCTGCTCGGAGCCGCCAGCCGCGCGCACCGCTCGCTAGGTAACTGCCGGGGTGTGAGGGTGTGGGGCCACGCAGTGTCGTACCGCGCGGAGACGCGCTGCAAGCACTACCTGGTGGAGGCGGAGCGCGGCTACCGCCTGCTCGGAGCCGCCAGCCGCGCGCACCGCTCGCTAGGTAACTGCCGGGGTGTGAGGGTGTGGGGCCACGCAGTGTCGTACCGCGCGGAGACGCGCTGCAAGCACTACCTGGTGGAGGCGGAGCGCGGCTACCGCCTGCTCGGAGCCGCCAGCCGCGCGCACCGCTCGCTAGGTAACTGCCGGGGTGTGAGGGTGTGGGGCCACGCAGTGTCGTACCGCGCGGAGACGCGCTGCAAGCACTACCTGGTGGAGGCGGAGCGCGGCTACCGCCTGCTCGGAGCCGCCAGCCGCGCGCACCGCTCGCTAGGTAACTGCCGGGGTGTGAGGGTGTGGGGCCACGCAGTGTCGTACCGCGCGGAGACGCGCTGCAAGCACTACCTGGTGGAGGCGGAGCGCGGCTACCGCCTGCTCGGAGCCGCCAGCCGCGCGCACCGCTCGCTAGGTAACTGCCGGGGTGTGAGGGTGTGGGGCCACGCAGTGTCGTACCGCGCGGAGACGCGCTGCAAGCACTACCTGGTGGAGGCGGAGCGCGGCTACCGCCTGCTCGGAGCCGCCAGCCGCGCGCACCGCTCGCTAGGTAACTGCCGGGGTGTGAGGGTGTGGGGCCACGCAGTGTCGTACCGCGCGGAGACGCGCTGCAAGCACTACCTGGTGGAGGCGGAGCGCGGCTACCGCCTGCTCGGAGCCGCCAGCCGCGCGCACCGCTCGCTAGGTAACTGCCGGGGTGTGAGGGTGTGGGGCCACGCAGTGTCGTACCGCGCGGAGACGCGCTGCAAGCACTACCTGGTGGAGGCGGAGCGCGGCTACCGCCTGCTCGGAGCCGCCAGCCGCGCGCACCGCTCGCTAGGTAACTGCCGGGGTGTGAGGGTGTGGGGCCACGCAGTGTCGTACCGCGCGGAGACGCGCTGCAAGCACTACCTGGTGGAGGCGGAGCGCGGCTACCGCCTGCTCGGAGCCGCCAGCCGCGCGCACCGCTCGCTAGGTAACTGCCGGGGTGTGAGGGTGTGGGGCCACGCAGTGTCGTACCGCGCGGAGACGCGCTGCAAGCACTACCTGGTGGAGGCGGAGCGCGGCTACCGCCTGCTCGGAGCCGCCAGCCGCGCGCACCGCTCGCTAGGTAAC